CTCTGAACTTGAGTTCTGCCGCACACACAGCCCCTCCTCAGTGGCCTCTCTCTGCCCCTCAGCTCCAGTAGATGGAGAATGTTGCTTCTTTTTGACAGAAGAGTTTCAATAGGAAAGTCTTGTTGGTCGTTTGACCTCCTGGTGTGGTTTTATTGTGAGTTCACTATTCCCCATCCCTCCCCAGGGCTGCCGAAGGCCTGCAGTCCCTCGCGGGAAAGTGGAGGAGGAGCAAAAGGAGAGTTCTGGGGGCTCCCTCTGTGGGGACATGGGAGATGCACGGGCATGTTCCCCCAGTCCAGGCCTCACAGGTGTTTGGAGACCCCCTGCCCGCCCTGCCTTACCCCTGGCCTTGCACAGCCCCCAGCCTGGGCTCAGAGACCTTCCAGAAGATGAGGGCGGTTCCCCTGGCTCTGGATCTTGGAAAGCCTTGGGCTGGTGCGTGGGCTCCTGAAGTCCATGCCAAGCCTGATGAGGAAGTAGAAAGGAAGCTTTCTGTCAGCCTGTCATAGATTCAGATCGGAATGATAGTGAAGCACTGCTGGCTTAGTTTAGCCCCAGAATCAGTGATCTGAAAGACTCACTCTGGAGGATGCAGCTGAGTTCAGCCCTTTCCCCCTTGTCCACCAGGCCAGGCCAGTACCCGCCACCACCCCGCCAGATATGTCATCACCAGCCCCCATGGCTCTGTCCTCTGGTCCCAGAATGGGGCCTCTGCGATGGGCCCTTCCTCACTGCCCCTCACAGGGCCTTCTCTTCTAAAACCCAAAGCCCAGCGGCCTTGCTGCAGCCTCCTGCCTTAGCCCTGAGAGCTTGGCTATGTCCAGGGTGGGGCCCCACCAAGGCTGGGCTTCAGGGGAGTCTGAGGACTTCCTCAGCAGGGCCCTCTTCCTATGAGAGCCTCAGGGAGCTCTGGTTGGGTGGGGGCGGTCATCAGCCAGGCATTGGGTGGGATCTACCCAAGGATTTGTGCCTCTTCTCCCAACAGGGAAGTAGGACCCGTCTGTGGCTTCGGGGCCACCCCCGCTCCCAGACGGATGTGGTGGTGTGTGGGCCAGGTTCTCAGCCTGCAGAGCCGCCTCATTCCCAGTCTGGTTGGACAGGTTGAGGCTGACACACCCGGGAGAATCCAGCGTGCAGAAATGTGGGCCTCCCTCGCTGGGCGTGTCAGCACCCCAGGATGGGTGAAGGGAGGGAGTCTTCCTGGAGAGCAGCCTCAGAGGTGGCCCCACCAGGAGCTCCTCCCTGCAGCCCCAGGGTCCCCGAGCAGGAGGCTCCAGGGACCAGGAGGCTCCAGCAGCCTCCAGCTGATTCCCGCCTTCCCAGCTGGAAAGGCTATGACAGAATCCGAGGAATGTGCCTTGAGCTCAGAAAGAAAATTCCCAAAATAACTTCTATAAATACTTGAGGGTAGGGGTGGGGAGGGCGCTCTCAGCATGGCCTGCAGCTGGCCTAGCGTTGGGGACTACTTCCCAGAGCAGGCCTCCACCAAAAAGAAGAAAAAGGCAGGCTGGGACCTTCCTGCTGCCCCTCCCCTCTGGGGGACAGTGTCAGGCACTGAATTAATGGGGTGAGATGGTGTGCAGTGGCAGTTCTGAAAAATGAGGCAGCAGCCTTTTTCTTCTTCATCCCCCATCCCAGGCTACAGCCCCTGACCCCACCCTGTACCACACAGAGAACCTGGGATCCTAACGGAGAGGGCGCCTCTCAGAGGACCCTTCAGACTGCCGGTCTGGTGGCCCTAGGCAGGTCACTAAGTGCCCACAGGTGCCTCTGGTGTACCTGGCTCGGAGCCAGGCCCCTCCCACCTGAGCTCTGTTGAACTGCCATCCTGTTGGCCCTGACCAGGCAGGAAGGAGCCAGGGCCCTGTCCCTCTCAGCCGAGGCAGGAGGACAGGGATCGCATTCAACAGCCCGCAGTAATGGAGCATCATGTCAAAGCGATGATGTGGGCAAGAGGGACTGCTGCCCTCAGGGGAGGCTTTATTGGGGTCCCAGGTAGATGAGATGTGGCCAAATGTGTCCTCCACCGTGAGATCTGAGACGGGAGGGAGGAAGGCGGGAATTTCTGGGACTTCCCCCCCAGAGCCCCGCCCCTCCCCAAGCGGCTGCAGTCAACCCCGGCCCCTCTTACAGGGGCAGTGCTCCGCTGCCTTAAGCAACTCTCCCCTCACTGTCTGACTCCTACACGCAGGCGGCACACCTATGACCTCAACCCGGTGAAGGTCACCAGGAGGTCTGGTTTCTCTGGCTTCAGGATGCCCCCTGGCCGGGGTGGAAAGGAGTCCACAGGGACACTTGAATGGAATTGTGTTCCCACCATCTCCCTGGAGACCCCTGGGGGTAGGGAGGCGGGGGCCAGGAAGGTGACGGCAGGCCCTTGGCAGTGTGGGCTGGGGGCAGAGCAGGTGAGACCTACAGTCTTCCTGGGGCGGGCCCTGTCCAGTTGTCAAGCAGCAAACACTCCGAGTTGCTACCAAACATGAACGGGCTGGTGTCTCGGGCAGGTGGCAGCAGATCCTGTTACAGGCCCCAGGCCTCTGGGCCCCAGCCTGACCCCAGCCCGGTGTCTCCTTTCAGGCTCTAAGGTCAGCACCCCAGGGTGGTGGGGATGTGATCCAACCCCAGCCTAGCCCATAGTTCCCCCGCACAGAGAGCCCTGCCCTCTAGAAAAATCAACTGTTCCACCCCTTCACCCGCTCCCAGGACCTCTGGTTATCCTGGGGACATTTCCTTTTGCTATATGCCCACCATGTGCCCTAGCCACATGATTTCAGCTTATGAGGAAGGACTCTTCTGTTCCCCAGTTCACAGATGAGGAAACCGTGGCTCACAGACAGTGGGCCCCTTGCCCAGGGTCACTGCGCTTGTCAGTGGCAGAGCTGGGGTTCCTGTGGTTGTGAAGCCCTGGGCTTGTCCTCTGCGCAGAGAGTGCAGAAGCCTCCTACAGACCCTCCAAGCTGAGAACAGCATGCGCGCGCACACACATGCACTCCCTGGTCAGCCTGCTGACATCTCTGGCCCCTTCCCAGACACCCACATACTTCTTGAGATCAGGGGTTTTCAAATTCATTTTTAGATGGAGCCCCCTTTTCAAACAAAATCTCAGGTGGAAGCTCAAGATAGCAGTCTTAGTGTGTAAAAGCCACCGCGGCCCTGCCTGCCCCCTTCCCCCATCCGGAGGCTCTGCTGGCTGGCCCTTCCCCATCTGTCCTCTGTCGCTCCCCCATAGGCAGCGCTTACAGGGCTCAAACCTTCCATTTTTGGTGCTTAATTTTGGTGTCTGGCAGCCTGTCGTCTCGCCTTCCTTCCCTCCTCCCTGTGGGCCCTGTTCCATCATGAGCTGCTCAGCGTCCAGCTCCCAGGCCCTGTGGGCAGAACAGCTTGGCCAGGAGCCCTGTTGGCCAGACTGGGCACAGCCCTCTGGTCCTAGGCATCCCTGAGTCAGCACTGCTCCAATCTGGCTGGAGCCGGAGCTGGGGGCCTGCCGGAGGCTCCGCCCAGCTGCAGCTCCCCTGTCCTCTGCCTCATCCTCATGGTTCCCTGGGGATAGCTTCACCCTGGGTTGAAGAGACATCTCCTTCCTTTCCTGCCCCCTGGCCCCAGTGCTGCCAGCCAGCAGCTCCAGAGAGGGAGAGGCTTTTCCTAGGGCTTCCTGAGCGCCAGCTTTCCCTCCTGCCTAATTGGTCATGTTCCAGGCTCTTTATGAAATCAGGCATGTGCATCTTCCTGAGTAGGTCTCCATAGCAACGGTGGGCCTAACTCTGGGGAGCGTGGTGAGGATGAAAATGTTCCAGCTAAAAATGTACATGGCCATCAGTGGGCGGGCACCCAAGAAGGGGCTCCCAGCACATAGAAGGCAGCTCCCTACCCCCCCCGGCCCCCGCCTATCCAGGAAGTCAGTGTTGTTCGCGCTTTCCTCATATCTTCATGCTTTACCTCACATCTTTGAATGAGAGCAGGCCCCCTGTGCTGCCATCCCCAGCCACCTTTGAGGGCTGGGATGCAGATCAGTGAGACAGGGTGGTGCAAAGCAGCCTTTCTGGGAACAAAGGCCGAAGGGAGACACCGGCTCCTTCCCCTGCTCACCCAATGTGTATGGAAGTGGACGTAGAGGGGCAGGGTGCCAGGTGAACTTCCCTACCCCTTTTGTTACAATTCCTGTCACTTCCGAGATCTTGCTGGCAGCGGGGTTGTTGGAGCCGAATGTAAGGCCAAGCTCCTGGCCGCCCTGACCCACCCTCCCAAAGCCCTCCTTTCACACAGCCCCTGCCCCTGGTCCCCAGTCATGTGACTGTCCTGTGACCCTCACCTGCGAGGCCAGGCTGGGATGGGCATTAGGTCCCAGGACCCAGACGTCCCTAGGAAGAACACGGGTGCAGGCAAAGGAGCTGTGCCCACCCACCCACAAGTTCAAGGTTCTCCCCAAAGGGATAGAAGCTGGATCCTGCAGCGTACATTCCCGCAGCCTCCCTGCGGAGCAGGGCAGCTCGGCAGTGCAGCAGCAAGCATGGGGGGTAGCAGACTCCTGACAGACTCATGTGGGCCATGTGCTATTCAAGTATTTTACATAAATGGACTCCTGTAACCTGGACAATGGCCCTCGAGGTGGCTGCTGTGGTCTTCCCCATTTATAGGTGAGGAAGCTGAAGGCCAGAGAGTGTGGCTTGCCCAGGATCTCACAGCTGGTAAAGGGGACACTCAAAGCCAAGGCCACTGACTTGAAAGCCCATCCCTTGGGGCCAGGAGGGGCACAGCTCCCACAGTGTGTGATCTGGGAGGCTGGCCTGGAAGCAGGTCTGAGGTGGGGACAGGTAAGATTTGCATTAATCAAGGACACAGTCACTTGACAAAACCCAGGCCGGAGGTACTGCATATGGGGCCCTCTCTGGCTGGCGGCCGGCGGCCGGTAGCCAAGCTGCTTCCCACTCCTTGCCCAGATGGCCAGGGTGCCCCTACCCCAGGACACCCTCACTAACCCCTCGCCCTGTGCTTGCTCCCAGGGTATGATGCTGAGTCGGCTGGACCGCAAGAGCCTGGCCCAGAAGGTGCTGCGGGACGCTGTGGAGAGGCAGAGCACCTGCCATGAGGCATGGCAGGGCCTGGGCGAGGTGCTGCAAGCCCAGGGCCAGAACGAGGCCGCTGTCGAATGCTTCCTCACTGCCCTCGAGCTGGAGGCCAGCAGCCCAGTGCTGCCCTTCTCCATCATCCCCAGAGAGCTCTGACACTGCCCACAGCAGCGGGGAGGAAGGCGGTGCCCGGTGGGTGGAGCAGCTGGCAGCCGGGAACAGGGATTTGGGGAGGTGTGGGACCTCAGGGAAATACATCTCTAGGGAACACTTCTGCAAGCTGCAGCCCTAGTTCTCCTCGCCTCCCCCACCCCACCCCTGTGTTCCCTCCAGAGCCCACTGAGTCTGGGAGAGGCTCATCTGGAACTGGGTGGACCAAATTTGCATCAGAAGCAAATTCCTTCTCCTTGGGACTCAGACATTGTGGCATTTATGAGCAAGGAAGTAGCTGAGAGGCCACATCAGCATGGAGCCCCTCCCCAGTGCGTCTGTGCATCATCTAAATGTGCAGTAAGATCTGCGTAGCTTGGTTACTTCCCCTTCTAGAAACCCCTGTACTGCACCTGCCACCCTCCCTCAGCACCCCGACCCTGATTTCTGGCTTTGCACAAGCTTCAGTCTCGAACCTCCGCTCTCTCGTCTCCAGCGCCAACGATGAACCCTGCCTCTGGCTGGGCCAAAAGGGCTTTCCTGTGTTCTTCCTCAGCACCTCAGCAGATAGTCTGCTTGAGCCCTAAGTGTCTTAGAGTCATGGTGACTGGACTTGCTCCCTGGCGCCTTACAGCTGTGCCTTCACCCACCCGTGCCTCTGTGCCTCGGGGGAGCCCCACGTCCTGGGCCCAGACCCGTCCCAGGACAAGGTTTCGGGCCGTTCTCAGGTCTTTCCCAGAGCAGTCACGACTTGAAGAATCCACCGGCAAGTGGGAAGAAGATGGATCCCTCTCCCAGACTTTGAGTTAGTGGGTATTGCCCAGCATTGCCCTTTGCCCGATGAGGCCAGTTGGGACTAACTGTGCACCCTCTGCTGCCAAGTGCCTTTGAGGCCCCTAGTGTCTGGCCGGGGACACCGGGCACCGGCCCTAACTAACCTTCCATTTCTGCCCACCTCCACCTTCCTGGAAATGCCCCAGCTAAAGCAGCCTCCACAGAACCTAGGCCGCAGCCCCAGGATGGGCCTCAGGATACGAGCATGGCGCTTCGCCCAGCCCGTTCTTATTCCTTCCATCGACACATTGCTCCTTCAGGGCAGTGGGTACGAGGCAGATCACTCCGGGGGTTATGACGTGGAGATGGGGAGTCTCCAGGACTGTCCCACATTCATCTCACCACCCACAGCCCATTTCACCTCCGGCGTTCTTGGGTAACCCAAGCCCCACCCTGGCCATTTGGTTCCCCTGCCTGGCACCGAATGACTGGTTGGCCTGGCGCCTCCTAAATAGTTGAGCTGGCCTCTGTATACTTGGTACCTTTGTCAGCAGGGGTCGTGGGTGCTGGGGGTCGGTGTCTTCCCTGCGGCTCCCAGCCTGCTGTGGGGTGCTCTGGGAATTCCCCCCAAGGAGCTGTCCCGCCCCCAACCACCACCAAAGACCTATTAGGGAAATTCCTTTTTTATCTGCACTTTGGGTTTTAGTTTTAAAGCTCCATCAGGTACATCTCTCATTTCAAGGTGTGTGGAAAGGTTGGGCAAGGACGGCCTGGGTCTGTCATAGGCCAGGCTCCCTGTGGGAGACCCACGCTCCTCGCCACACCGGCTCAGCGCTGCACCCCCAGGTGCTTCCCGGGGAGAGCCTGTGCCTCCTGGCCTCCCGCCAGGTGAGCAACGCTGCAGAGAACATTGCATCCTTCGCCTCTTATTTGAAGGATCTCTATATGTGTATGTGTGTATAAATATAAATTTATATATATATGTACAGGGTCCAGCAGAAGTAACACCTGCTTGAGTGTGGTTGGTAGGGTAATATTATATGGGTGTAATAATTTATAGTTTTAATTTGAACATTTCACCTAAAATGTCATATGGTGTGCTTGAGTGTGATATTGTTATGTTACAGAATTACATGCTTACGATTTTGTAATAAAAGATTTTTTAATGAAACAGGGGCGTTATTTCTGCTGGGCCCTGTATATGATAGAGCTCTATTTTTCTGGAATTCTGTGAGGGGGAAAAAAGTGAGCAAGACAAAACAGAAGCCATTGATTTGCCTTGGGGGACCCAAAGATGTTGGTGGTCAGTTCTTAGGAAGGAAAGGCACCCTCCTCAGAGGAGGCCTCAGCTGTTTAGGTCAAGTTGCTGACAGTTCACAGATTGAATAAAGAGACCCCTGAAGGGGAAACAGGTTTGTCTGAAGCAATGTATTCACTCAGCTCACAGGTGGTTCCAGAACCAGCCTTGAGCAGATCCTGGGGTGGGGTGGGGAAGGATGGAGTCCTTAGGGCCTGGGCCACCCCGGTGGGGGCTGGGGGGGAGGAGGAGCAAGGGAGGGAGGAGCCCGCTGAGGGGACCGTCGTCTTTAGGGCAGTGGGGGTGGATGAGCGTGGCGGGGGTGGGGAGTTGGGAGGGCTTTGAGGTCCGGCTGAAGCCCTGAGACGGGTGGGAGGAGGGGCAGAGGGGTCGAGGTGGGGCCAGCTAGAGTGGGTCTCTTTCTGGACTGCTGCCTGTCCCTTGGGTGGCCCTGAGCCCCCTGCTGCCTCCAGAGCCCAACTGGAGGATCCAGGACCAGACTTGCCAACTGAACAGAGAGACTGTACCCAGGGCACTGCCAGTGGAGCCCCTCCAGCACCCGGGGAAGAAGCCCCCGGGAGGGGGCGTGGTGAAGATCCAGGCCGCGTCCAGACTGGCCACCTGTGCTGAGAGGTCCTGATGTATGTTATACCACGTACCAACATACTGCATACAAAGTGCGTTAAAATTTTGGAGGATGACACAAATTTACACAGCTGTATTTTCCATATACTCCCAAGGGGTCATCTGGTGCGCCCCAAGGCTGCACCCACCCACTTTGAAGACAGCTGCTCTTGAGGCTTCCCCTAGAACTCGGGGCTGGCCTAGACGGAGCTTCCTGCTCCCCGGCCTCACTGCGGCCTCGCCTGCCCACCCTCAGCCCTATTCTCCATTGCGGTTTTGCTGTCCTAGCGAAGATCTTCCTTGGAGCCTTTAAGTGCCCAGCTTCTCTTGTGCCGCAATGCTTTCTTTTAAGGAAACTCATTCACAATCTTTCGTGTTTAACAACACACCCTCACCCCCAGCTTATGGTCCCCTGGGGTGAGAATTAAAGGCCACAGGTAAGGTTACATTATATGCCAGCCTAGGAGAAAGTTTTAGAAGGCTCATCCTTCAAGGAAGAGAATGGAGGTAGGGAGGGAGGCCTTCCTGTTCAATACGAGGGCTATGCTGCGCTGACCTCAGTTGGTCAGATGTCGAAGTCAGGCAGGGGTGGGGACGTTTCCTGACCCCCAGGTTTTCAGACCCCTTGTTCACACAGAAACCCTCACTGGAGAAGGAGGGAGCCACCTCTATGTGCGGCCCATTGTGCCAGAATAAGGGCTGGAGTCTGGGGACAAGACTTGTGTGGCACTGTCACCCCCTTGGACCTCCAGCCCACCCGCCACTCTCCAGGACACAGCCCTTCAGTATTAAACAGTGTTTATCTGCAGGCACAAATATGAATGGAATTTCAGCCACCACCCCTCAGGCTCGTCTCTGGTACCAAAGTGCTCATTGTTGCATTTGCACCCCCTCACCACTGGGGCATTCAGATAGCGTCACCATGCAAATATTTCTTGGCCTTGTTTGGGAAGCAGCCAGCTAAATAAACCTCCCCAGCCCATGCTACCAGCTCTTGACGACAAACCACTGTGATCCCAGAGCCCGCCATGCAACCTGGCCTCAGGCAAGGATCTGGGGACTGCTGGACCACAGGTGAGAGGCACCCAGCCCGTCTGGAGAGGGATTTGGTGCCCACCAAGGGCCACAGGAAGGCCAGTATTTCAAGCAGAAGAATGCCCACTCCCCAGCCTAGCTATAGGTTAGATAGACGGTGTGGAAGCCTGAAGAACATCCCCTGCAAAGGTATCCATGTCCCAGAACTTGTGAATATGTTCTCCTACATGATAAAGCGATTTTGCAAACAATTAAGTTAAGGACCTTGGGGAGATTCTCTGCATTTTCCAGGTGAACCCCTATAACCACAAGGATTCTTAAAAGAGGAAGGCAGGAGGGTCAGAGTCAAGACTAGATGTGATGGGAATGGGAGTTTGGAATGATGTCAGGAAAGGAATGTAGAAGCTGGAAACTCTAAGGAAACAGATTCTCCCCTGGAGCCTGAGACTGATTTTGGGAATTCTGACCTCCAGAACTGTAAAAGAATAAATTTGTACTGTTTCAAGCAACAAAGTCTATGGAAGTTTATTATAGCAGCCACAGGGAACTGATACAGATGGTTTGGATAAAGAACTGCCCCGGGCACAGGATTGGCACATGGGCTCAGGGGTACTCTGCAGTCCGGCGCCCATGCCCAGCCCTGCGTGAGTTGGGGATTAGAAGCCTAATCAGGTGTGTCCCTGCCTGGCAGGTTTTCAAGGGTTTCCCTCTGGCCCTATTGAATAAAGGGAGCTCCAGCAACTTCCTTTCTCCTTGATGGCCCTCAATTACCGTGCAGAACCTCTGAGCTCTGGGACTTCAGAAAACAGATGAGAGCCCTGGCTGGTGTGGCTCAGTGGATTGAGTGCTGGCCTGCAAGCCAAAGGGTCACTGGTTCAACTCCCAGGCAGGGCACACGATTGGATTGCAGGCCAGGTCCCCAGTGAGGGGGGTAGGAAGGAGTTAGGGCACACATTGATGTTTCTCTTCCTCTCTTTCTCCCTCCTTTCCCCTCTCTCTAAAAATAAATAAAATCTCTTTTTTAAAAAAAAGGTCAGCTCTCATTAAGCACTAGGTTCCGTGTGGGACCTGCACAGCATGCAATGCACTGCCTTGCTGTCCCACCTGTCCCCTCCCAGGCCTCTCAGTTCCAGTGTGGCGAACTGAATCGAAAGCCTTGTCAGTCCCTACCACCTGCCCCGACCTAGCCCTCTCTGGTGACCAGAGAGATGCAATGTCACGGTGACTCAGTCCACCTTTCTGTCCACAGTTCTCAGGGACGAAGCCACACTGCCACCCAAAGTAGCCATGTTGCTACGTTGCTACCACCTCTCCCCTGCTGGCGGTGCCTTTCTGAGCCCCCTCCACTCTTCAGAAGGGTGACACCTTTGACTGGGCTCTGATATAGCCAAGGGTGCTGTCAAGAAGGCAACGAGGAGCACCTGATGGGAGATGACTCTCCACGTGTCCCCCTCCTGGGTCTCCCCCTCCAGCTACGCCTCCTTCCTGTCTACCTGCCACTCCCTGCCTTTTTACTCACCACCCTCAGCGTCCAAGGACTCAGCCTTGGCTCCCACTGCCGTCCAGAGTGGCTTCTTCCCTCGGAAGGCTGAGGTAAGCCCTGCTAAGGCCCGGGCCTCCAGCACTGACCCCCGAGCCCAGCCAGCCCCTGCAGTCCTGAATCCAGGGGCCAGCCCCACCCCCGCCCCCGCTTTGGGCCCGGCAGGCTTGGCAGGCCTGCAGCCACGCCTTTGGCCGAAACCAAAAGTCTCTGAGGAGTGCCGCGAGGGGTTAGGCTGGCAAGAGGTGCCTGGGTTCAGGCCACTGCTGTCCTTTCTACTCAGAAAGACCCTCCCCTGGTACCACTCCAGGCACCGACTTCACCCAGACAAACAGGCTGGGTGCCATCCTTTTCCCTTAGGAGGCAGCCAGATGCTAACATGAGTCAACCTCTTCTTCTTACTGGAGAGGGATTTCTAGGGCAAGGGCCCTGTCTTCTTCTTCTTAAACCTTTAGGGCTGGGAGGACCGCCTGCGCCCTCGCCTGGGGTTACTGGTGACTGGTGCTCTCACACCATCTCAGTGGTGGTCCTCGCCCTTGGCCACTCATTGGAATCGACAGGGGTGGGGAAAGGGGGCGAGCTCTAAACAATATTGGGCCTGAGTCCCGCCCCCGGGGAGTTTGATGCGATCTGTCTTGGAGCCGACAGCACCAAAATTTGTCAAGACTCCCCAGGGGATTCTAAAATGCAGCTTAGAACCACTGATTCTGAACTTGTAGATTTTGAACTGTGTTTTCAAGACAATAGGGCTTTCAAAGCAATGCTAGGGTCACAGGCCTGAGCTCTGTGCTCCTGGAGGTAGGGGGCAGCACGCAGGAGAGAGAGGGTGCTGGGGGCAGGGCCAGTCATCTAAGCAGCCTGTGGCCCTCAGCCTCTGGGTCTGGAAGGTGTCACCGGAAGGTCCAGAAAGCAGTGGGTGAGGGGGCGGGGGTGAGGAAGGAGGGAAAGAGAGGAGAAGGAGGAGGACAAGCTGTCCCCAACCGCTATGACTTTTGACATGCTCTGACTTAATGGAGAGGGAATTTCAGATGGAAACAGTAGAAGACATTTGCAGCCAAGAAGAGCCGTTCCCTTTGGCTGAAGCTAAATTCAGAGGGCAGTTGCAGGGGGGGAGGGGGGTTGGAGGGGGAGGGAAGAGGAACAGAGAGAAGCTCAGGGAAGCCAGGGCAGGGACCTTGAGAAGCCAGTGTCGCAGCAGCCAATGGGGAAGCAAGGAGGGGTTCGGCAGGGAAGGCCTCTTGGGACTTGGGATACAGGCGGAAGTCTCTCCCATCTGCGCTAGGCTTTTCTAAGCGCTTTTGGACATGTCACTTGCTGTGCACAACAGTCCTAGCTGCCAGGTGTTAATATCCCAATCTCAGAGCTCAAGTTTAAGGTCAACCCAGGTCTGTCAGTCTCTCCACCTCAGAAAGGACAGAAGGAGGCCCTGCTCTTCAAATAGCGCCTCAATTTTAGGCTCGTGGCGAGAAAATGCCATCCAGAATCCCTGTGGGCTTTTTGGGAAAAGCCTCTCCCTAACTGTATAAAATTCTATAAAAATGTTCGAATATGCTGAGGAAGAGAAGTAAAACATCCTCTTCTCACCACCTAGACCCTGCCAGCACCTCAGCTAATGCTCAGGGCAGAGTCTGCCCCGTCCCCGGAATCACAGAGGAGGGTGAGGGCTGCATTTGAACCAGACGGCAAGACTGGTAAGGTTCGCCCCGGCTCCAGGAAGAAAGACAGATGTTACGGGAGCCAAAGCAAAGCTTAGGGAATGGGCCCCAAACACCAGGCTGTCCAGATGGCCCTGCAGAATTTTCTTCAGCAGTTTCGCCTCCCGGTGACTCTCTGCAGGCCAATCAAGGCCCCCTCCCCTTCTTACTCTGCATGGTCCTCGTTCCCCGCGGGACACTGGGCAGCTGCCCTCCACCCCCGTTACTCACCCCTCCCACCACCCCCCGCACAGCTGGGCCCCTGCAGCCTTGTCTGCACCGTGGTTCGAGGCCCTTCAGGCCATAGAGTGAAGGGCCCCGGGGTGGACTCCTGACCCAAGCAGGTCAACTGGATTCTCTCTCCTAGGAATCTGATACTGGGACCAAGAGAGGCTGGTTGCATCCTTTTAGGGCACTGGCTCAGGAAATCACGTGAGGAGAGGCTGAGGTAACTACATTCGATTCTATACAAGAAAGAGGCAGTGAAGTCAGCCTGCTGCCGCAGGGAAAGCAGACCTGAGAAAGAGGCAGGGGGAGAGGGAGGGGGAGAGAGCGTTCCTGCCAGCCCCTGGGTCACGCGACCCTTACTGCCCACAACACCATCTCCCTCCTCCCCTGTGTGGGGGTTCCTCTAACTTCCATCCACGAGCTCTAAGGCAGACATGGCACCTCTGCCTAGAACCACTTCCCTGAGCACCAGGTGCAACCTAGAGAAAACACTCTCCGTCAGCCCTGCCAGCTGTACCTTTCCGATCCTGCAGGGGACTCTGACCCACTTGGAGGATAAAATTTGGAACTGTCTGCCCTGCAGCCATCTTCTGATCAAAGGACAAGAGCCACTGCATCCCCCCCCCCCACCCCAGACATCCCCCTGATCTTCCCAGTGGCTGTTGTTAGCGCTGAAGGAATACAAGGCAGGGAGTTTCTCCCACAAATGTGAAACTTGAATGAATTCAGTGAGAAGGTGGCCTTCCCTTCCTTGCCCCCAATACCCATTTTATAAGGGCTTATAAGGCTAGCTTTTTTCTTCTTTTAAAATATAACAAAGTATTGTGTAAGTATTTTATAAGGTTTCTCCCAGTTATTTACCAATGACTCTGGAATCTCCCCAACCTTTGTGAGACACCAGCTATCATGCGTAGCATCTGTCTAGCTGGCGCTCCTTGAGCAGGACTGCTTGCCATGCGTGGCTGCATGTGGTCCCACCCCCTCTCACCCTCCCTCACACCCTCCACTCCAGTTGGCTTGGCCAGGCTAGGCTCCCTCTGTTCCCCTCCAGCAAGTGTTTACCCTTGCCTTTTGTCCAAACAGGGCTCCTTGCCCCTGACCTCCTTCCCTCTCCTCTCTGTTGCCTCTCAGCCTCTTGGTCCCTTGGGTGCCAGCCGATCTTCCCTCCTGCATGCTGCCTTGTCCCTGCTCTGACCGCCCCTGGCCTTCACTGTTGAAACTGCTCCTCTGGGCATTGGGTGCAGTGATTTCGCAGCTTTGAGACGAGGGCCTGTCTCACTGGTGAGGACAGCCCCTGAGCTTCCAACACCAGAAGGAGCTGCTTAGCGCAACTTTCAAAAGCGGTCCTGGAGCCAAAGACTACCCCCAACCACCTTCCTGGCCTCGTGTCCCCTACCGCCCGCCCCAAACTCAGTCACATGCTTTATTCATTGTTCTTTCAAGTCCCCATCCCCAGTCCCAACGTAGCAACTAGCACAGAACAGATACTCAAAATATTTTTCTTGACTTGAAACCACAAATAATCATTGGGTTGAAGAAATATTGTTCTTTTCAAGGAATTGGAAGAGAAAGAACCACCTGCTGGGATCCCGTCAAGCTCCACCAGGCCTTGGCTGAAGGTGCACCCTGCCCCCAAGGCCATCTCCAGGAGGCCGCGAGGCCCCTCGTGCAGTGGGGCCCCAGCTGGGGAGCCCGGGGCTGCCCGGCGCACAGCCTCGGCTCGCTGGGCATGTCGAAGCTGCCACAGGGCAGCCAGGGGACAGTCTCCAGGAATATACCCTCTGACAAGAAGCAGATTGAGAAGGAGGTGAGCAGGGGAGGAAAGAGTAGGAACAACTGTAACAGCATAAACAATAACATAATTAAAATAAACAGATCGAGCATAAAATTTATTGTTCAAATCCAGACACTCTTGAGAGCAAACTGGCAATTATGCTGGGACTAGTCCAGATAAATAGGCTGGATGGTCACTCTGGGCAATCTATTTGGTTCTGGGCTCAAATCCTCCAAAGAGTAGATAAAACAGTGTTTTCTAAACATAATAACTTGCTCAAACAAAGTTAGCTTAGGGCCAAGGTGGCTTTATTTTAAAAGCCGATTGTGTTGTTGAAGAACAGGCTATGTTCTCGCCCCATTTTGGCTATGGTCCGGGGCTGCTTGGGGAATTGTGCTGAAGATGTGTACGCTCCTGGACCCGGGGTTTTCTGAAAACAGAACAGAAAGCAGGAACTGATGAGAGTGTGACTCCAAAACCCTGGAGCCTGCTGGGCCTGGCTGGCAAATCCCTACGGAGGGAGACAAGGGCCACACCAGCTTGGGCGGAGGCCTGGGGCACCCTTGCCCTGGCGCGTGTCCCTGGAGCTCAGACCGGCTCCTGCCAGCCACTCTCCCCAAGGCTACAGAGGGGCTGAGAGACAGCGGACGAGCAGTGGTGGCCTGGACCTGCCAGGGAGGCAGCTCTCATGCCACCTGCGCCTCAGGGCACACTATGCCCCACAGGGCAGTTTGGCCGTGGGAATGCCATCGTCATCCCCAGTCTAGTAGTAGGGCATTAGGATGGATTCCCAACCTGAGCGGTTGACCTCAAAAGCCCAAACTCATGTGTTTCTATTGCTGACCCAGCATGAGTAGTAAGGTATTTCTCTGCCAGTCTGTGGACCCCAGGGTCAGAAGTATTTGCAAAGAATCTATGAGTTCCAATTTTTGAAAGTCATGTTTTCATGTTGATGAAATTCTTTAGAAAATTATTGCACCAATTGTTTAAACAAAGTTTCTCTTCTGTTGTGATAAAATGCAAATGACTGTCATTTTTCACAGACTAAGGCTAAGACTTGGATTTCTAAAGTCAGTGTTTTCCACACTGGGGTGCACACACATATCCTTGAAACCCAAAGGGACTTTATCTTGGGTTGCTGGAGAGACTGTGTGTGGTAAGAGAAGAATTTTATTGTCAGATAGGCCTCCGTTCAGGTCCTAGTCTTAGCCTCAGTGGCTCGGTGTGACCTTGGGCCATGGGCTTCCCATGCCTCTGCCATCAAAGGAGGCTCTGAGGCTCACGGGATGCCCTCCAGGAAAGAGAACACGGGAGGGCCAGTCAGGTGCTCCACACACCAGCCACCGCTGCTAGTGTTATTCCCTGTTATCACCTTCTTGTCATTTCCTTCCTTCCTTGCAGCTTGTTATTTTTCCAGGAGACAGTGAGAGTGGAAATTGGATTACCCTGGGAGTGGGGCAGAGAGTCAGCCCAGCGTGGATGAGGTCAGCTGCCTGCAGAAGCTGCTTTAAATGACAGGATGTCTCCCTTGCCAAGAGCAGACGAGCAGCCTGGAATCTCATCAAGCCCTGGCCGGATGTCAAAAAAGCTGAAGCCTTTATTAGTGCTATTAATGAGGAAGCAGCCTGTGTGAGGAGTCCTGGAAGACTGGCCCACAGATAGGTTCGTGGGCCTGCCCCGCTCCCCGACTCCCACAAGAACCACCCCTTAGGAGGCTGCTGGCTATGGTTCTCAAACCTTGAGAACATCTGGCTCCATCTCCCAGCCTGGATTTCACTGTCACCATGCAAACTTCTGGTTGTCTTTGGCTTCCATGAAAGTTTCCTATAAGGGGAGACACTCCACAGAGCAGCAGCCCTGAACACCAACAACCCCCTTGGTGGACACTTGAGAATGAATAATACTACCCCTTCTGGCTTCTCGGTCAGTTTCCTGAGCATTTGGTTAGCATGACTCCAACTTCCTGAGGACGCTCAGCCCTGTGAGCTCCGACAAAAACCCGTATCTGGGTCACAGTGATGCCACTAGGGTATGAGGATCTGATTAAGGGACCCACCAGCCTCCTGTTGCTGGTGTGTTTGTAATTTTCCTGGCAGGGACTCCCCAGTATTCACCCCTCCAGATAAAGACCACATTACCCCACACTGCAACTGGCAGCTCTGGATTAAGATCCTGAAGGGAAGGGCCTGGGACACCACAGCGGGGGCAGGGGAGGGGACCCGTGGGCCAGATAGCAGCAGTACTAGCCCCGCTCCTACCCACTGCCCAGCTTCACCCACCTCCCTTCATCTCTCGGGGTGGGCCCGCTTCCTTTGAGGCAGAATTCATATTTCTGTCTCCCAACCATCTCAAACAAGGCTACAGACTAGGAAATTTGAGGGACTTCCAGACTGGGGTGCAGGCTGCAAACAGCAAGGCCATAGGAATTAAAATAGCCTTTAAACATTAAAAAAAAAACAAAACACAAAACCACTGTTTATAAACTCCATGTTATGCCCTTGAGGTCTTCCTTGGTCTTCCCTAAGCCTCTGAGGCTCTCACACAGTCCCAGATTCTATCTTCTTTATGTATCTCCAAGGACTTGGGACTTTTCTCTGTCTGTCCTGAGTCTTTAAAGGCAGGATAATTGTTCATGCCTTAAAGGCCTCCTTTGGTCCAATAAGAATGTCTCTGCTCTCGCTTTTTTGTTCTCAGAAGCCACTTACACAAGGGCAGTTCTGGATAGACTGGGGCAGCCACTGTCCACTGCTTGCCTCAATTCAATAAAGGCATTTCCCTACAAAGCAGCCAGGTCATAACACAGATGGCTAACCAGTGTGCTGGCTGTTCTCAGCTGACCCATAATTTAGCTGCAGTCCTCAGGAGTCCGAAGGGCTCGCCAGGTATTTGAGCTCTATACTCTTTGCTGCCTTGACAAGCAATTTTATCTATCTACCAGAATTGTATATAACGCCCCCATCCCACCTCCCCTGCCCACTGCCCCCGCAGCACACAGCCGCAAAACCTACAACCGTAATCTGTCCTTCAGAATACTTACTGAACAGGCAGGCAAGAAACGAGGTACTTTGGACTGAAAACAAGAAGTAATAGAACTTGCTGGAGGTGTTTTCACGTTATAATGACCTGGTCCTGGGCCTTCGTGCTAAAATTTATTTTAAAATTTTAAAAAGTGTTTCGTAATTACTAATATTTGAGATATTTTAATGCTTTATTGGTCTTCTACAAATAAACATGAATCCGTGTGATACTGTAAAAAAACTGGATTTGGGTTTGGAAGATCTTATCAGTATATACCCTGGCACAAGTCATAGTGAAATGGGAAAAATACCTGCTTTATCTACTTTACCTGCCTGGCGGATGGCTGTGAACACTAAAGGTTACATGACTGTGAAATTCTCCCCTTGTCCTTGCCTGGGCCTCCTCCCCACCTGGCATGCCTCACTCCATACTTGTCCCTCTGACTGTTAACAGTCATGTGCTGCGCTGAGCTGCTAGCTTTATAAAACACACTTATTATTTCGCATATCATCTATGTCCAAACAAGTATTCCCAGCAATTCATTGACATAAGTATAATGCTATGAGATTAATATAAATGGATGAAGACGATTTTAAGAAGACAAACATCACAATAGGAAAATTAGCAAAAGGCAATTCACAAAGAAGAAATACAATTGTTCAGAGAAGAAATGACTCTGGGAGGCTTTAATCTTATTAATAACCAAATAAGTTCTCATTAAAACAATGAAATTCTCTTTTTTTGGTGGTGGGGGGAGATCTAGAAAATTAACAAAGGTTAAAAAAAAACAACAAGGAAGGGAGAGAGAGGATGAGAGAGAGCAAGGGAGGTAGGGAGGAAGGTAGCCCTGACTGGTGTGGCTTGGTAGGTTGGGCATCGTCCTGCAAAGTGAAAGATTATCAGTTCGATTCCTGGTCAGGGCACGTGCCTGGGTTGTGGGTTAGGTTCCCTGCCAGGGTGCATGCAAGAGGCAACTGATCAATGTTTCTCTCCTCCTCTTTCTTCCTCCCTTCCCCTCTCTCTAAAAAACAAATAAATAAAATCTTTTTAAAAGAAAAAAATAGAAAAAACAAAATTTTAACCACCATGATGGACACTGCTGTTGATTCTGAGGGAAGTACAAATTTGATTAGCCTTTGTGGAGCACAATTTGGCAGACTATGAAATAGCTTCAAAACATATATACCTATCCAAATGCAGAGAAAGTAGAAAGAGACTGTTAGGAGATTGTTGCAGAAATCCAGAAGAAATATAAGACCTGAGCCCAGGGATGGCAGAGAGAATGGAAACAGCCAAAACACCATAGTTAATAATGTAGACAAGATGTTAGCCTTTTATTTTCTAGTAATTCACTATTTTCCTTTCCCATTTTCTTTCTTTTTTTTTTTTAAGATTTTACTTATTTATTTTTAGAGAGAGGAGACGGGACAGAGAAAGAAAGAGGAAGAAACATCAATGTGTGGTTGCCTCTCATGTACCCCCCACTGGGAATCTGGTCTGAAACCCAGGCATGTGCCCTGACTGGGAATCAAACTGGCAACCCCTTGCTTTGCAGTCCAGTGCTCAGTCCACTGAACCACAACAGCCAGAGCTCCTTTCCCATTTTAAAATACCTGCGCTATTTGACAAAAACGAGTCTTTTCTGGCATGATGTCTTGGATCCGTTTCTAAATAATGCAGGAACTGGGGTAAGCGGGTGGAGGTAGATGTGCCACAAGCTGAACATTGTTGAATGGTCACATGGGATTTGATGTAGCATTCTGTCCATGTGGTGTGTATTTTTTAAGTTTTTATAATACAAAGTTAAAAAATGCATATGTATTATTTTGACTCAGCAATTCCACTTTTAGGAATTCATCCTAAGAAAACAGCTAAGAATATGTCTAAGTATTTGGCCACAAAGACATTCACTATAACATCGTTTCTAAAAGTTGAAAGTGAGAAATAAGCAAATAACATGTGCCTGGTTTAATAAACTGTGATACTTTCATCCAGACATCGAGTGTTGATGAATTTTTAGAGACATAAGAACTATTCCCAAATATTCTTAAGTGAAAAATAGAAGCTTGAAAAACTGGGAAAGTAATGTTCATTGTTTTCTTCAGGCAGTAGCATGTTGAGTAAAAAGAAATATTTTTACCTGCCAGAGTGGCCACCATCAGTAAACCAACAAACAACATGCCCTCGCAAGGGTGTGGAGAAAAGGAAACCCTAGCGCACTGTTGGTGGTTAATTCATACTGGAGCAACCACTGTGGAAGACAGATGGCATTTCCTCAAAAAATTAAAAATGGAATTGCCTTTTGTCCCAATGATTCACTTCTGGGACTATGCCGTGTGAATCCTAAAACAGCAATCAGAAAGCATATATGCACCCCTATGTTCACAGCAGCGCTATTTACAAGAGCCACGCTATGGAACAGCCCAACTGCCCATCAGTAGATGAGTGGATGAAGCAGCTGTGATACATTTACACAACAGAACACTACGCAGCTGTGAAAAAAGAGAAACTCTTACCCTTTGCAACAGCATAGGTGGACTTGGAGATTTTTATGCTAAGCTCAATAAACCAGTCAGAGAAAGACAAATACCATATTATCTCACTTATATGTGGAATCTAATATGTGACAACATAGAACCAGAGGTATGGATACATGAAACAGACTGACAGCTCTCAGAGGGGAGTGGAAGTGGAGGGAACTGGATGTAAAAAGGTAAAGGAATTAGACAAAGAACAAATATGCATAATCCATGAAACAGACAATAGTGTGGTGAAGTCCAGGGGAGGGGAAGGCAGGAGAGGCTGAGTGGAGATGGGCAAATGGGAGGGGTGGGAAATGGGGGACATCTGTAATTGTATCAACAATTTTTTTATAAAAGAAACTAAATGAAAAGCAAAATAAATGTGTTCATCATCTAAAAAGAGAAGGAAGTTTTTTTTTTTGCTTAACAGCACTTTCTAAGTTTTCTACAGTGGACTTGATTGCTCTTAAAATAAGAAAAACCATTATACCTAATGTATAGATGAATGAATATGGAAAAGGAGTAAGAGAGAAAAGGAGGTAGGAAAAAAAAAAAGATAAAATTCACAGAAAGTTAGAAGAGAACAATGTGTCCCATGAGATCCTGGGCCACAAGTTAGCCAACGGATTTGGCGGGACAAGCGCCCAACTGCAGGCCCCCTGCCGGGGTCAGGACGGGGCTCCCCGCTCACTCCTGCAGGTGGCACCGCAGTGTAATTAGGGCTCCATCCTCAATTACTCCACCTTGAATGGAATCTGTTATTAACAGCCACGCACAAGTCTGATAATCAAGGGATGGATGTGCCTCGTAATTTTACAACTCGTGACAGAGAGAGAGAAGAGTAATGTTTTCAAACCAGTGCGAATGTGGGACAGAGAACGTTCCTCCATATGGAGTGACCGCTGCGCTCCCACTGCAGAAATCGGAGGCACCACAAAAAGAAAGGCGTAGAAAGCTGAGGGATTCTGGACGAGAACGGTTTGTGTAACGTCCCCTTGATGTGGCTGTAATAAGCACAGTACTCTCAAGCCAGAGTGGTAGATGGGGCAAAAGATGCTGCCACGTGTGCTAACATTGCCTCCTTGCCTCTGACAACCCAGCTGTCCGCAGGATGGCCAAGAAATGCCATCATTTGCACCTTTTCCCCCAAGCCTCACGTGGCTTTCATGTCTCAGCTCCCAAGTTATGAGCTCCTAGGGAGTGCAGGTGCTGGGCGTAGAGAAGCACTGATGTCTGCCTTTGTCATCCAGTAGCCTCCCTGCATGGGCTGGGTCACCTGAAGCAAAAAGACTAATACTTGGCCCTGGCTGGGTGGCTCTGTTGGTTAGACCATCGTCCCACGCACCAGAAGGTTGCTGGTTTGATCCCCAGTTGCGGTGCATATGGGAGGCAGCCCGTAGATGTTTCTCTCTCTCTCTCCCTCCCTCCCTTTTCTCTCTATAAAAATCAATGAAAACATATCCTCGGGTGAGGATTTAAAAGAAAAATGACTAAGACTTGGGGCAGAAAGAAATGACTGAATGCTATTTTCCCCCTGTGTCAGATGAAATCTTTTAAGCAGAACATTAGGGAAGTGGATACAGGCCCAAGTTCATATTCCAGAAGCCACAGGAATGCTGTTCTCGCTGAAAAATAATGACCGGGCCAGGGTCCTGCGACGGGTGGGAAGCAGCTCCAGCAGAGTCCCGGCCTCTGTCCCATCCAAGGACAGGTGAGTGGGCAGAACGGGAATGGAGGGAAGGGGTCACTGCCCCGGAAGGCTCTGAATGCATGCCAAGAGATGGACCTCACGCGGCAGGAGGACGCTGAAAACAGGAAGGACTTTTGAACTGTGCCCTACTCTTCCTTGAGGTTGGGGACTCTGCTCCCTCGTTTCCTGGGGACCCCGAACGTGATCCAGAGCTTTGGCCCACATTACTTGCAATGCGTGGGTGAAGGACAGCTCCCGGGTTCATGGGGCGGTACTATGCGCCTCATGCACGAATCGAATGGGTCATTCTTAAGCCTTGCTCTTGCCAGGGCCATGTTTTGGCAACTCTGGGTTTCCTGGAACTAAACTTTTCAGATTCCATTGACATTTGGTGCCAAGGGATGACAGAACTCTCACCTTCCTAGTGTCTGCTGCCAGAAGAAACTACAGGAATCCTTTATGGTACCCATTCTTCTGCTTCGGGGCGTGATTGTGTCTCGACCCTCCTGACAAGATGATACCTTTCTCTTTCCTTTGAAAAAAAGCCTTATTTAATTGAATTTCTACTTGAGGGCAGCTTTAACCAATGGGAGCTGTAGGGATTATACAGATGTATAAAATCTGCGTCACCAAAGTCAGAGTTTATAGTCCAGGGAGCGACGCAGGCAACACCAAATAAAAACACCCCAAATGAATAAACAAAAGCGTGAGGAGCTGCAGTGGTGCCCGGGGAGGGCCGAGCTCGCTGCCTGGCTCCCAGACTCTAAACCAGGCCCTGCTCTAACTGGCTGTGCCACCTCAGTGAGCCACAGGGAATCATCAAGGGCAGGAGCTGTTGACTCCCTGAAAAGGACTCAAATGCGAAGGCCCCACTGACTTTTCTGGAGTGTCCCTGGGTTCCTTGTCATACCA